CATAGACTTTGAACAGTGAGAAGGAAAGTGTTTTGGGAACGATGAGAGTGTAAGAACACGAAAGGGGTTCAGTTTTCACATGAAATCAACCACAATGAATCAGTTNAGTAACTCCATACATTAACATACTCAGTAATAAGTATTTTGACTGTGAATAAAAAGCTCATCGATACGTTCTTTTGGATTTAAGTTGCAACTCTATAAACAGCTTACACGTTATGAGGGATCTTCAGTTTCTGCGTCTTCTGCTTAATCACCGGAAGCCTCTGACTGATGGTGCTCGGGTCGCTATAGACTGCTAAATCAACTGGATACCCTTTCTGCACATATATATTCAAGAGTTAAATCATGTAACCGATATTCACTAACCATAAAAACATTGTAGTATTTATTGTCATGTAACAAAACGAGTGTGGTTGTTTGATGATCTAGAGGAAATGGTTGGGTCTATCAGCCAGCCGTTCTAGGTCTGATGGGAGAAAAATGGATTTCAATAAGAAGAAAGATTGGAAATGAAACTAACCGCAGATAGAGACTGAAATGTTGCTTCTCTCCAACAGCTTTCACGAAGAACAGTGGGTGTTTCACCTTTGCCAAACACATAATGCATTCTTGTCTCTCTCAATCTCATAAGCACACCATCAACTCTAAGCTATGAAAAAGCAACCGAGTGGAAAATGGAATTCATAACATCAGAACAGTCAATGATGATCCACATATAGGTGCATAATAATTTTATTTTGTGACTAAGGTTTTTTCCTGATTTGACTCACCCAAAATCGTAACAGGAGGAACCACGAACTTGGCATGACTCTCTGAAGACCAAAAAAAAAAAATCAGAGTGGCACATACAGGTTATCCTTTATTATTAATACTGAACTCAAATCAAATTCAAGGCATTACGAAAGAATGACTCGAAGTTTCTTTACCACTTTCACAGTCAGAAGTGAGACTCCATTGTCAGCCAGTTCATCTTCATACAAAACTACCTGAAGGAGTAGAGAATAAGTACATCGAAGTGTGCAGAAGACGAAAGTAACTAAATGTTTTAATTTGGTATCGATCAGGGGACAACCTCATCATAGAAGAGAATAGGTTCTTTAAGTGAGAGAGCAGCCAAATCAATCTGCTCTTCACAGTTCTCCCACTGAAGACAAGCTTCTCCCTCCGGATTTGCTTTTGCCTCAACCTGAAAACAGCATCCATCAATGAGCATGAAAGCTAAAGTTCCTAACTTTAATTATCGTGAGACAGACAGGAAACAGGTGAAAATAAGAGCGAGGCGTACCGCTTCTTTGTCTTTCTCAATTACTTCACTTCCACGGTATGGCGTTGTAAACGTGTAATCATAATCTAGTATCACCTGCTGGGACGGCTTGCTGCACAACAAGTACATCAGAGTTGTATCAGATACAACTATGTACAAGCAGATAGTTTCCCGATTGAAACAAATGCTATTCTATCTTTAGTGACATGTGAAAAACCGGTCAGTCTAATCCTCAAACCAGTCATAAACTCACCTCCTAAATTTCCATTGTGCTGCAGCAGGAACTTCAACAGGTGGAAGTCCTTCCTCCTTCCAACCCGTAAGTGCGTCAAATGCATTAAAATGAATCTTAGTGCCGCTACTCAAGTGCTTAATAACTAATGCATTCTCCCCAAAAACCATCTCAGGTAAATGAGATGTCTTAAGCTTTTCTTCCCACCTATGCAAACAATCAAACATCAACACTCGTAATCATGCTTTCGAGTTTCCACCGAATCAGAAAACTGAATAGATCATATACAATGGACCAAAACCTAGGAAAAAAAACTCAAAATCAAAGACACATTTCTAATTTTCTTCGATACGATTCCACTAAGTAGACAGAGGTGGTACATCAGCTCAAAAACGCAGACGACCCAAATTCATATACGATTGTATCTTATGGAGACGTGAAAATAGAGATAGAGAGAGATAGATTACTCCTCGACAGCGAGAGAAGTGAGAATCGTGCCACGGAGGGTTTCGATCTCCCAGCCATGGATGCGCAAACCTCGACGTCCGTCGGGAAGAAGCTCTGCTCCGGCAGATTTTAGTATCTCTTTATCGACCACCGTCTCCATCTGAATCGCCGGCAAAAATATCTTTCCTTTTCTCCGCCGATTTCACTTTTGCGACCAGCCGGTGAAACAAACTTTCCAAAGACATTGACTTAAGAACTTAATGGGCTTTAGTAAAATGGGCCTCA